GGGGGGCTCTCTTTTTTAATATCTAATATTTTTACATGCTGCTAGTGAGAGAACCTGTTTTTAAAATATTTTAATCCCACCACTGTACTATCCCCATCCCAAAGGCATTTTGAGACTAAGAGTTATTTTAGTAACAAGCCTTCACTTTCCAGGTAAGACCAGGGCCACATTAATATATAGTGCTGCCCCTACCTCAACGTGATCGCTCCAGAAGTGAAGTCTTTGTATTAATTACGTCATTAATCACGTGATTGGTCACATGATCGCTCAGTTCTTGATTAGCATCACGATCTGGTGCCCAGATCGGCTGGTTGTGGCGCTATCCCATTACAGAATTAAATAATAATTCATCAAATATTTGTTGCCGCTTTCGTTCGATGTTTCTTAAATTTGCCGACCTATACAGCTGCCTACTCTGCCTATGCGTAAACGCGGCTCTGAATAAGAGTATTGTTTCTGATCAGCTTCAAGTGTAGTTTCAGAGCCTTTGCTGTTATATATTTTATTTATTTAGAAAACATTGAAAATTTCCTTTTATAAAGTGTCATGTTCTTTGTTTCTATACTTTTTTGACAATATTGATGTATGAATATCCTTCCTGAAAGAAATCTGTGATATTTTACTACAGCTGTAATTCTACTCATGAAGTACTGCAATGTCAAACGATCAGGAATTTGAAGTAAACCAAATAATATGTAGATGTTTAATAAGTCACCTGCTGTAACATACCATTGCATTAAGATTTATGAATCATTCTTACAAAGTACTATTAAACCTCCCTAATGTCTTCATACTGGAATACATTTCAAACATTATTTCGAACAGAAAATATTAAATTATGAACAATAATTTGTACATTGTATTATTACAAACATATCATCTAAATTTTCTATATTTTAAATAGAAACTTTTTATTACTTTAACGTGAAGGTAAAGTGGTGATAATGTGATTAATGCATTCAATTCTGAAACGGTAGGCTTCACAATATTGTCAATAGGCTACTTGTTGATTATTTATTCCTAGATTACAATAATTAAGAGTAGTATGGGTGTTAGGTACTCACAGTTTGTGGGGTGTGATAGTTGCAAGAAGTGAGTTTTATTTGGGAACTCATGATTGGCAAACACTTTTAAGGAAGCTACTAATGAATATCTGCAATTTGTTTGTAGAGTTTGCAGGTTTGAGGAAAAATTTGAGACTATCTTAAATAAAGTAGAGGTAATAGGAATGGTAAACTGTGGGAAATGGCAGCAGGATTTCAAGAGGAACTTGCAGGGGATACAGTGTCTAATAATGAGATACAGTAGTTAATACTGACTTTCAAAACTTTGGAATAGGGCTATTGGGGCTAGAAGTAGTGGATTTAATTGTACTGAATAGGTTCTATTAAGTAACATATTTTAGCCTTTACCCTGTAGAAATGAGGGACAATGGGAGAGAAAGAAGACAAAAAAGACCAGAGGATGGAAATGAAAACTTAAGTAGGTTATAGTTATAGGTGATTCTTTGGTACAGAAGTTATGTGGATAGGATAGTCTGTGTGGTAAGCAGGGATAATAGAATTAGATTACACTATTCAGAGGCAGAGTGGGGAATGTAATTGACAACAGAGTAAGTTACATAATAAAGGGTACTAGTAATAAGTTAGTTATTGTTGTGCACATAAGGGCTAACGATATAGATAAGAGCAGGTCAGATGAGCTAACTGATAAATACAGAGGATTGATAAAGGCATTTAAGGAAAAGAGCCATAAGTTAATTGTGTCAGGATTACTGCTTTATGTGTATGAAATTATAAGTAGGTCACTAGGACTGAATAATAGGCTTAGGTTAATAATAAAGACAAGCAGATGTATTGGTTGGACTTGTGGAATCAGTTCATTGGGAAAAGGGAGCTTTTTGGAATTGATGGTTTACCACGTTTAAATAGAACAGGAGCTGCCTCGTTTGCAAGGGCTATTCACTCAAATGTAAGGGAAGCTTTAAAAGAAAGCTAAATAAATAGTGGTAAGGGAATGGATCAACTAAATATAGAAAAAATAAGATGTAGAGAAAATTTAGGAACAAACCACAGAAGCAGCTCTAAGGGTAAGCTAAATTGTTACTATTGTAATGCTAGAAGTATAATGTTATGTCTCCGTTTGTTAATTAATTTTCCGTAACTTCGTTTCGACGAAACTTTAGCGA